AACTAAAACCAATCACCAACAAAAAACACAGACATCCAAAAGCAAGAAAAGAAAGAGCAAGCTACCACACACCATTTTCTTCTATAAAAATGTGGGGTTGGAAATGTATTTGTTTGAAACCAAGCATATATATGTCAGATTTGTGATATGCAGAGATATGAGTTTGCGCAGGATGTTTTCACATATTAATATTTTCTGTGCTGGCACAGAAAAGACCATTTACTGATCCAGATCTCAGACTATTTTAGAAAATGTGCAATTAAAAAGGGTGTGTGATGGGGGGAGGAGGTAGAATTGCTGGAGTGGAATCACTCTTACTCAGATTGCTAACCTACTTTTGAAAGGTGGAGTCATTTACTGCTGTACCATGGCCATCAGCTCATTAATGAAGCTAGGAGAAAGAACCATAAACACTTCAAAAAGAGATAACTTGGTGGAGTTCCTTCCCTGTTACCATGAACTAAGAAGGAACAACTCCTTACAGTGAAGGAAGAGTAAATGTGCAGCCTTGAGAGCCCTGTGACGGAGCAGTATATGAGACACAACAGTACCGTGTCATCAGTGAAGGTTTCTGAGAATGTACGGGATTGACATTATCTGGTTTAGACTTTACTCACTATGCTGTTTAGCTATTGCTGTTAAGCTGTGCGCCGGTACATAGACTGTGGTCGTGCTTAGGTATCACTGTCCTTTCCTGAGAATTGCCTATACTATTATAAAGCATAATAAGAGGTTTGATATGATGAAATAATTTTGTCTTGGATACTGCATGCATTCTGTTGTGCAGCAGTTGCTGTGAATTAAGTGGAAGTTCTTTCTAGTATTTGAGCTGGATCTTCAATGAGGGTAGGCAGCTGCTGCTATGAAGTCAGCAGAGCTAAGCCAGTTTGAACAAGGTAAGGATTTGGTTCCGTACACTAGTAGTAGACACAAGTGATTGCTGATGTATTTGAACTATGAGAGTACTACCTGCTTACTGAAGGGGCCTATAGAAATAAGTTTTGTTGTACAAACCAGAGAGGAGAGACTCTAATTTTAGATACAAATAGCAAAAAATTAAAAAAAAAATCTAATATTGACAGCAGGAAATCTTTTGTTGTACAGAAATGTGGTGAAAAGCCAAACACATCACTCAGTGGCTGATATGGACAAACTACTGGCTCAGTGAAAAATTGTGAGCCAGTCTGTTAATCAAAATGGTACATTAAGTGTCACTTAGGAAAATTGAAAAGTAAATACCTAGACACTCCTAGTAATCTAATGGTTCTTTTAGTGTAGGTGAATAGCACCACCTAAAACCAGGCCCTATCACTCCATATTTCATTCACTGGATACAAGTTCTCTTGATAAAATTCTATATGGAGCAATCTTATGGCATAAAGACATAGAAAATGATGTAAGAGATCTTTCCTTGATTTATTTTTAAGTTAAGCAGAAACACAGGCTTGATTGAGTGTGGATATCAAGTGGGTGTGCATCATCTTCAGGCAGGTCGAATGATATTTGTAAAGGGTGCAAGTACAAACTGGATGTCTCAATACAGCAAAGCCATGGATGCAATAGCTAGGCGTGTGATGGCATGCGTGATACTCTACCTGATGATCAAAAGGGGAGAGTGCTTCTTGAAGCCAAACCAACAGGTATATCAGTATTGTGAGGACAGCTGGGAGGGTGTGAAACACTAAAAGGACAGGCACACACAGGTGGTTGTGGATGTACCCCACTGAGTCCCCAGACTTTAGAATATGAACATAAAATGTGTCCAAGAAAGTGCTGCCTTTCCTTCATCTCTCAAGGGGAGCTGATGTGCCCATACAGTGGCTGGATACTTTAACCTGATCAATAGAGCTAGGCTAATTTGGGAAAGTTTTGGTCTTGCTGCAAACTCAGAAATGGCAGTTCCTTTTCTGTGAAGCTCTTTCAAGGCCACAAATACTAGATCCTAACACTGTTAGTATCAAGTTTTTTTCTATGTATAAGAGAGGAAGCATGGTCTTGTTAAGAATGTGGTTTATCTGTGGGTTTTCTGAGAGTGCCTTTTGCTGCTGAAATTGAGATAACTGTTAGGACAGCATTTCTATTTCTAATACCTTGGGAAAGAAGGCCCATAGGAGTCAACACAGACACCAGGATTAGAAAAAAAAAGTTAAATACAGTACTTGAATTTCTGTAGCTCAGCAATTGACTATTGAGGGGACTAGTTTTGGACAAGGTCGACACTTGAGCTAAAAGGCATGGCACTGTGTGAGTGTATCAGTGCAGTGCAGTTTGTGAGGGTGGTAATGGGACAGCTTCAACAGCAGCTTGTATCAGACGGCATTAATGGACAGATTCTGATGTGTAGCAGCTACTGTTAATTTCCTATTACAGATTTTCAGTACCTTTTAACTTGTTACACTTACTTTTGGCTATAATCGAAGGACTATTAATCACAATAGCTAGTTACAAATTTTTCTTGTGTTTGCAAGAAAACAAAATACAGTTAAAGATATGCTAACATGTATGTTCCAATGGGCTTTTTTTTCTAAACTACAGCTTTCTAGGCATTTTCTTTAAACCCTCTCTTGTGGATGGACAATTTCACCTTTCGTTTTCTTCCTAGCCTCTAAATGGCATTTTCTTTGCTGTGGGCAGTGCAGCAGCTATGCTCTGCTCTACTTGTCATGTCCCATTTGCTGCCACCCCAATCAAAAGCAAGTGATTTGGCACATCTCTGAGACAGCTTTTTTAAAAAACAATGTTCCAAGGACATAACTAGACACTGCCATTCCTGGGAACCAGCCTGCCTTTCAAAGCCCATTTGCTTTATTTTATGTGCTGCTTCCTGTTCTTTTCACATTCTCCTCTCTTTTGTCTTTTAAGCTTGAACTGTAGAGATTCTCAGGAACAGATTATAACTTTCCTCCCAGGTGAGATCAAAGAGGGTCTGTTAGAGGCCTGGTTGTCTCTTTTTCACTTAAAAAAAAAATAAAAAGCAAACTTTCCACCATCTGCTAGAGCCAGCAGATGTAAATACATTGTAGTGTATGGTAGAGGATCTAAGGTAACTTTCTGAAGCTGTTTTCAACACCTTCCTCTGCCCTTGATAGTTTATTTTAAAGGATCTGAATGCAGAATCTGAGTTTGTGGATTATGGCAAAGGAATCAGTGGGGTAGGCTCTTGAATTCCTCATTTCCAGCTGCTGTATTCCTGTTGAGATACCAAAGCACATAAACAAACTGAGATCTGATTCATTAAAAAACAAGCAATGCAATCTAACTTCTAAAAGGTGTTCACTGAAAATCCCACTGTTAAATTCAGAATAATAGGTCGGTATCTCATACATGCAAGTGTTACATAGGAAAAGTTTTATAACTGCGTTCCTGGAAGTGTTGCCCCATTTTATCTCAAAATCTAAAAATTTGCAGTGTCAAGGTCAGCTTTTACAGTCAGGAGAAGGTAATGGATACAGGGTCTACTCATTATCAGAACCTCCATACAAAATTGATCCCCTTCTCCTACTTATCATTTTTCAGCTTTCCCACTGCCTTTTTACTTTCCTTTCATCTCAGCATTCTGAATTTGTATGATGTGTTTTGGTTCCATGTGTAATAATTGGTGTCACACACCAATACAGCTGAATTAACTGGTTTCTAGTCCCAAATGGAGCAATCAGAAGCATGCACTTAGTTGCTTTTGCTAAAATAGCCTTGTGTTACTAAACCCATAGCTGACAGCTATGGCAATAGTTAAAAGAAGGGAAAAATATGGTCACTGGATATGGAAGTCACTGTAGAGTCTGTATGTTGGTTCTCTACAGGAAAGAGGAACAGGAGATGGCAAAGCTCCCTTATTGTCAGCATAAGAACTTAGCATGGTAGCATGGAGACTTGAGCTGGGGGTATGTGAACCTTCAGGAGAGAGACTCAGGAGGGGAAGAAAATCTGCAGTAAGACATGGAATTTTGCCTTCAGCTGCAGAGACTTGAACAAGTATTTGAATTTAATGTACAAAAAAAAAATGGAGTTGAATAAAAGAATTGGAGAAGGTGGGAAAAGACAGAACAGCAGGAGCTTAAGATAGCAACAGATTCTCAAGATGGCTTCGGGGGGGGGGGGGGCGGCTGCATTACTACACTTATTCCTCCCCTGTCATTAGAGGCCGTGCGTGTGTATGAAACATCATTTCTCTTAGAGCCATCCTTAGCTAGCAGCATTTGTATGACTTCCACAAAAGATCAAAACCAAGTTCCTGTGGACTTCATAAAATCCCAGGAATGTCTCCTTTGGAAGGGTCAAACTCTACTGGGGAATACTGGGGAAAGACAAGATAGGAGCTGGGTTTAGATTTTTTGTTCAGCTGTTAGTCTGTAGGAGTGCAGCAACCTAAAGGCTGTTAGTTTGGTGACTGAAATCTTGGGCATGAAGGGTTCTTCCTCCAACATATGCCACTTCATCTAATAAATTTGTAATTATTCTTAGCATCTTGCTTGGTCGTCCAGTTCCAGAAGGGCAAAGCACAGAGAGGGCCAGAAGAACTTACAGAAATTCTAAGGAAAGTCTTCTAATTCTGGAGAAAATTATTATAGCAGCTGAGAAATACCACTGGGGTGGTGGTAACTGTGTGGGGTATTGTTACCTAAGAATATTGCATGGAGATCTTTGTTATGCTGGAGGCTTCATCTAGGGTAACAGGCTTCATAGCTGAGGTTCAGTTAATACAGCAAATGATGGTAGCTGTGATATAGACTAGATACTGGTATTTTTCCACGTTACCAAAATGTTTATGACCGAACTGCGCATTATAGCTTCAAGGCTTGCAAACGTACATGATGCTTTGAAGAAAAATGTAGTGTGTGAATTCCTTCAATGTATATACTGCCAGATTTCCCCCTCAGGTATAGACTCCTGCATTTCTTCATTTGAGACTTCTTTATCACGTCGTACACCAGACTGCATCAGACAGTTACTTCAAAGTTTTCTTTCTTGCACTGCACTAAGTTTGTTTGTTTGTTCTGCAGCCAAATGCAAAGCCTTCTCCAGCTGAGGAGAGTTTAACTGAGGATCGTCCTTCTGAACCTTCCACAGAGATTCTGAAATGATGCACTGCCATACATGTGGAATAAGAGGTGAGAGAGCACAAAAGATTGTTATATGCTGGTTTTGTTTGGCATCTGGTGAAAAGTGGATATTATTTTATTCAGCATTGAGTTACTTAATTGGTGTATCCTGTCAGTCTCAAAAATGGCAAAGGATCATACTGTGTATGGCATGACTATCCATGGTTTATAGCATCAACCTTGATGTGCCTCAAAGCTTCCCTGGAGAATACTTGTAGTAACTACTTAAATACACTTCTGGGTAATCTGTTACTGAGTTGGGCAAGGATCACCATTGTATAAATTCTGGGACAGAATGTAGAGAAGCCAGTTTTACTTGTCTTCTGGGTGAAGCTGGTAGAATATAGATGTGTTTTTCTCTGTTTCTGGATTTCTCTGAATTCTTAACTGTATAAAGGTAGTAGGATTACCCTGTGTATACCTGAGAACAGGATTTGGATTCCATAACTTTTTAGACATACCGCTAGATTGATCCTCTTGATATTAGTTTGTGGGATTGCTTTTATCTTATGCAGTACTCTTCACATTAGGCCTCCATGTGGCTGGTTATTAGTGAGACGATGGTTCATGGAGCATATGTCCTAAGGGGAGCCTGGGATTTCTAAGTGGGTAGTCTCACAATAGCCAAAAGAAACCAACTATTGCCTTTGTGTCCCGCTGTTCACTTAGCTGAATATAATTGCTCAAGTACAGAAAGGCTTTTCAGCACAGTTTCCCTGGGTTTGGGGTGCTGCACTGTGACTAGTCTTGTGACTACATCAGCTTCTGTAGCCAGTAGCAAACATGAGAATGGTGCACCCACTATTGCTATATCCCTTTGGTCTCAGACCATGAGACCAGGTACTCAGCTACAGCTGGACTGACTGGAAAGTAGGGTTTGGCACAAGTCCAGGCTGAAATGGGTTGTTCATGCTGTCCTGCAAAAACATGTGTCATTGCAGCATCTATTTCTGATAATATAAAAATTTATATTTATGCAAAATGTTGGCTGTTCTAGTTCGAATAAATCTGTATGAGAATGTGAGTAAAGGAAAGGCACTTATCAAAAGCTCACTATGAAAGGAAGTGTAATTTTAGTTGCCATTGATACTCATTACTAAACTAGTGATAAACTCATCTGCTTAGGAAATAAATGTCAATGTACTTTTGTAATTTAAATGAGAACTTGTAATATGGAAAATATGCTTCCTGTTCAGATCCTTGAAGGTTTGCTTTGAAATAGGAGTCCCCTGTGATGTCTATTTCATTTTCTTTCATTGTTCAAGTGTTGTGTCACTGATGACATCTCTGCTGAATGCCGCCCAATTATAACATTGAACATCTGCACAGGGACATTATACCTTCCCAGGGGAATTATGGGAAACAAGCACATTGGTAAACAAAAGAGTAACTAAAATTATTTGTAGGAAATTTAGTCTTTAGTCGCTTTGTTGGCTGCCAAAGGTTATGGCTTACTAACAAAACATTTTTGCCTTTTACAGCTAGATCAAACATTAAGGGAAAGAAAGCTTTTATAATAAATGCAAGGGAAAAGTTATGGTTTGCACTGTACTTATAAAAACAATTTCCATGGGTAAGTGGGTGTTTGGTGGCAAATTGCTGTAAAATATGTTTGTAATATCCTTACTACCACCATATAGGGCAACTTTTAATTTATTCTTTCTGTGCAGAAAATTGAAATCTACTAAAATGCCCAGGATTCCATAAGATAATATATAGATGTAAATGTCATGTATTCAGTCTGAAGCTAAAGCATATTATCTTGGTGCCAATGTTCTGGGTATTTAACAATTCACTTGATGTTTTAATTCCAATTATGGCTTTTGTGGTCAGACACTGAAATGATTAGGCACAGAATTCCCATGCAAGTCAGTGGGAATCTCATGTGTGCAAGTTTTGCAGGCTTGGGGCCATAACCACATGCAGGCTATTTCCAGTGCAGCTTTCGCCAGAATCCTTTGTATTCAGACCTTTGCAAGGAGGAGACTGAGGACACAAGTGGTACCTCTTTGTTTCCCAGTGCTCTTTGGCACTGGGGCAAAAGTGTGGAGGGAAGACAAATGTATAGTCCAGTCAGTCCATGCTCCAGGGACCTTTGAATATTCCGAAAGACCTGCAGTCATGGCAGGATTTTGTCTGTCTGGCAGTGTCTGTCCTCAGCCCACCCCTTCTTCACTGTTTTGTCACTTGAGTTTCAGACACTTCTCCCAGTCTTCCTTCTGCTCTATCACTTTCCTCTGGTTTTCTTTGTCTTTCCTTCTAGTTTATTCCCTATAAATTGGCAGCATTAGAAAACCTTGATCATCTGACTTGCTGCATGCTGCATCACACAGTGATACAGACTTAAGTTATGTATGTGTTTTCATAAACTGTTATGTCTGTTTGGACTTAAGACTGGAAGAACAGGAACTGGTGACCACTGCCTAAGGCAGTGGGATCAATTCTTGCTTGATCATTAGGAGCTGCTTTATTAAACCTGACTTTTATACGTATCTGCAGTGGAAGCTCAATACTTTCAAGAACTGGTCTCCATTCACATTTTTTCTTCATCTTTCTTTGTTGGATTAATCAATAGCTTGCTCCCACCCTGGCAGTATTTCAATTGTTGAATTAGTTTGATTATTTTCTTTCAGTGAATACTGAAATGATCTGCAAGTATTATCCAAAATACTGCAATTTAAAGTCTTACTGTAATGTTGAGGACTGCAGCTGAGAAGCATTGTTCTTTAATTCTTGCCGCTTAATTTTTGAGGGATAGAGCTGTTAAAATGGGGGGGAGGCATTCTGTCACACAGGAACTGTTCATTTTTTCAAAATGGATAAATATTGAATATCTTTTGTTTTATCTCAATCTATCTGTCTGCAGCTCCTGCTCCCTTCCTGCCCCAAAATAAATAGACCTGTTGTTGAAATAAGAGAAAGTATGTTTCTATATCTTCAAAATAGAACTAAAAATACCTGCTTGACCTGTGGGTTTTAAGGCAGCTCACAGCTGTAGTTAACACTACCCCCCCTGCTGAGATCAAAGTCTGGCCCCATCCAGCTTGAAACACTGCTGTCAGTACCTTGTTGTTAGGCAGAAAGTAAGAGAGTGTTCCCCTCTGCTGTGGAAAAGCAATGTTTATTTGATCTTGGGCCTCTTCTGAATAATTTTGCTAAATCTAATTGCTCTTGATGTTTAGCCCAGTACATCATGGGCTTTTTCAGAAGTAGCTCTTTATGCAATGGGTGAAGCATCAGAATACAGTAAGGACCACTTCAAATATCTCTCATCAAGGCAAAGAACTCTAGATAGATTACTGCAGATCAATCTGTACAAACCCTGCATAAACACTGAAGCTCTTTTAAGTTAAAATGTGCTTAAAAAACCCTTATGTTATGAAAGGTGAATAACTAGTAAGAGAGTTATGTAAAAAAAGATAGAGAGGTCTGGTTAATTCACTCGTTCCTGTCAGCTTATGATGAAACAAAACATATGATTAAAAATTGTATTTATTAGCATACATTAACATTTTATGTTCCCAAAATGTAAGCTTCCTGCATGTCAAATGCCAACCCTCTTCCTAAAAGTGAGGCATGGTTCTGACATGAATGATGCTATTGCTGCTGCATTTTGCTTGTTTGAAACCAAAACACTTTTACTGATAATTATTGTGAAGGACTTTGCAATGGGCTGTGACATTTGGTTGCTGTTCATGCTTCTGGTATGCAAATGATTTGCAAATTTTTCTGCTCATACGTAAGAACTTTCAGGGTGAAACCATAAATGAGAACAACAACAAAGTAGAAATTTCCTTTGAAAGCAGAAAAAGTAAGTGAGCTTTGCTGATGTAATACCATACTGAATGATAGTACACTGGGTGTTAAGCAAGGATGATTTGTACCGCCTCCCTTAACTGTGAGACTGGGAAATGAGGGTCCTCTTGCAAAGTTCATTGCTAGTTTGATAGATGACATAATCTCTGTATTAAAAATCTCTCTTCTTGACACTTCAGACACCTCTGCTTGACCTGTATATGTGTGTGCATGCTTGCAGCAAGGATGATGTTCCCATGAGTCAGTCTGAATGCAGGAGGGTGCTTTAGGCATATGCAGAGCACAGACTGGTGGGAACCAGATTGTCACCCTTGGGCAAGAGGAGACCAGCTGCTCAAGCACCATTTGTTTCGTCCTTTCTATTACTTTTGCTGTAGCCAAGGAAGCTGTTAAGTTAGGTGTATAGAGTTGACAATGTCTGGGGAAGAGAGTTATCGGGAGATTATCTGCAGCTGTCAGACCCATTTTTTAATAACTGTAGAAGTAAAAACACCATTAGTAAGGGCTTTTGGTTCCACCTCACACCTTCTCCTTTGTTGAGACAGAAGCAGGCTCATCCCCTTCCTGTCTTTTTTAATTTCCAATAAAGTGTTGGATGGCAACAGCCAAGAGTACAGAAGAAAGAGTGGGGCTGCTTTGAGGTCAACTTCAGTTTTCTCTCCATTCACCTACACAAAGCCATTTAAACACGCTTGGGCCTTGAGCCTTTATGCTTAACTTTTCCAAAACTCTACTTCTCACCCCTGGCTTTCATTTTCTCCATGTTCTTTCATTTTACTTCACAGAGCAGCCTCTTATTACCCCTTTCTCCAGCCCCCAGCTGGTTAGATTGCTGGCTAGCCTTCCCATTTTTCCTACTTTCCTAAAGACATTCTTACAGTAACTATGTGTTGCTTCATTTAATAATGTGGTGTTCTTTACCTCTGGACCACAGATTTCTGTTTTGTTTGCTTAATCTGATCTGCTTTGCTTTGCAGATCAGTCTTGGTCTGTATATGGTTGGCTGTGCCTAGGGACAGTCAGTTACACAGAGCTGAATGGGATGCTGGGCTGCATGGACCTTAATCTGAGCCAATATAGCTGCTTGGATTTTGTGTGGTGTTGAGAGGCTGCAGCAGAAGTAGATCTATTGCTGCTTTGTGACCTAAGGGAAAAGAAAACTCTTTACTGCACTAAGCCTGTCTACTTAATGA